AGTCAAATAGATCTGCAATTGAATTGAAATACATTAACGTTAGTGTTGAAATAGTGTAAGATTTAAAAACAATATTTATCGAATGTTAAATATTTATCGAAATTAGAAAAAAAAATCGAATACTAAGTTTCAAATAAATGTCAAACTGTCGAAGAATAAATTATCAAAAAGTGTAATTTGATTTTTTTTTCAATAATTCATTGCATCTTTAAGTAAGATTTATACCGCCTAAAAATTTTTAATTTAGAAAAATAAATCCGTTTACTTTTTACATAAGATATTTAATTTCAGAAATTAATAATTTTATTACTTAACACTGGTATTCAAATTAAGAGATTCTTTCTATCTAGTCGATAGATAGAAGAGCTAGAAAATTTATTTAATTTAAATTTAGTATGGTAATCTTATATAATTGATATATACATTGAAGATTTGACAGAGGGTCTTAGAGGCCTCTTCCCTAGCCATATTAGACATTCATTTAAATTTTTGGTACATGTTTTTATAATGTGTTCTTATTCTTAAGAACATTTTTGTTGATACAGTATAAATTTGCTGCACAATAGTTTTAAAAAAGGGTAAAAAAATTTAGACTTTGTTTTATGAGACTGAGATAAGTAGTACTTGATAACTTTAAAAATTTTGCACTGATTTTTTTTTCAAAAAATTAAGGAAATAAAATTATGTGGTAGTAATAATGATCAGATAATGTAGTATTGAACAAATAAGTACCTGTGTTTAGCTTCCATCATTCTTTAATTTAGCGAAAATCAATTTAAATAAAGTTTTAAAAAAATCATTTAGCAAAAATTACTGAAAACAGAAGATGTTTTCCAATGTTTTTTAAATATCTGAAAACAAATAAGCGTATAATACTAAACTACACTTCAAGAAATGATAATTGTAGAATTGTATTTTTATAATTTTGTCTCAACATATTCCTTTAAAATTTTAAATACCGTTAGTTATTTATCTCCCATTCTGTGAATGGTCAATGGCCTTGTATTTTACATGTTTCGAATGATACTGTCAAATAGAGTAAATAAATTATAATTTATTCATGAAACGCAAACAAGGATAACTAAAAGCATATTTAACATTATTTCTTCGTATTTCTCTTTCCTTGATGGTTTAATTTTATAACCAGGGAATAAGAGGCTTATGGAAGTAGTTTTTCAATGGTCTGAGCCGGGTTCATTTTGAATGGTGCATTCTTCTATGCCTTTGAAAGAGCCACTGGGATTGTTGTTTGTATAGAGAAGAGATCTTGGAGAAATATACTCGCCTTTTTAAAAGTGCAATTGATCCTTTATTTACTATTTGTTTTAAGAAGATGCACGACAACATTTTCTCATTGATTTTGTGAAATATTTTGTCGTTTGGGATTCACCAGCCAAGTCACCACGTTTCATCCTTATAAATTCACCACTACCCCATTTGCCACTATGTATACTTTTTTTTAACATGAAAAATTATAATCGCCATTTACTATATCTTTGTGTCAGCAAGATTAGGGCTTTTAAAATGATATGCTGTTAATTCCACGTTATTACCTAGGTATCGTTTTCGCAGGTCAGATGTGAAGCTCACCTTTCTACGTATAGGATATACTGAGCTGGCTATCTTCATTTGCTTTTCAAAGAATCTCTCCCCAATGCAATACTTATAATATTTTTTTTTCCAATTCATCATATTTCTATTATTTATCCTTGTTTTAAACTACATCATTTTACCTTTTTTCGGTAGCTCTATTTCATATATAAAAGATTTATGAAATGAAACCCATCATCCAAATATCTTGGCATATCCTTACGCTATTGCAATTTTAAATTGTATATTACATTTTTATCAAATTTCATCCATTAATGAATGCATTTATCTTTGCATTATTTTACAGTATTCGCCAGTTTACCTGACTTAATAATGTGTTTTTCTTTTACTTTACCTCTTAATGCGTGTTTAAAACATTGTGCTTTGTGCAGCACATTCCTTTTTGAAGCTTGTACCATTAAACCGTACATTTCATTCAATTCAGCCACATAAAGTTTGCAAAAAAAATTGTGGGAAGAGCAATTGTAACTAGCAACGTTCCTCTCCTGTCTGGGAAAATCCTAGCACCGTTACCGAAAGAGTGGGACCAATTACCACGGGAATACCTAAACTACCTTGCTCAAACTTGCTTAAATTACCTTGTCAATCTAGGGTCTACATACTGTTAGAAATTAATTAAAATGTGATCAAACTCCTAGTTAACCTATTTGTTTTGATCGATTTTGCATCCCCAGCTTCATATCTTCCGATTCCGACAAGTGTTCGCATGAGTCTGCTTCCTGAAACTGTTGCATACTTATTTTATTTGTATCGCATGAACTACCTTCACATCTAATTTTATTTAAATTGGTCCACTATTTCAAAAGTTATCGATGAAACAAGAAAATTCACTTAATTTTGAACTTAATTTAGAGTATTAACAAATAGAGTTTTGTGTCAATAATTATAATTTTTTTCACAAAAAGGAAAGTATATATGAAATTTCCTTTAGGAAAAGCTTCCTTCATTAAGATCCATTTCCTTGTAAATCTGGAATCAAGGAATTTAAATCTCACTTCTTCAGCTAAAGCTTGATTTTAGTGAATATACCTTGTAAAAATGATGAGTGCTCATTTATTTTAGAAAAGCAATATTTTTGAACAAGGAATCTCAAAATTTCTCAATTAATATCTCTAATTCCATGGATAGGTTGACTAGATCATAAGAGTCTTTTTAAATTGTTTCTTGAATCATTTATCAAATTTATTCCCAGAATTTTATTTCATATTTTATTTCAAATTATTAAATGCATGTTCTTCATAAACTGATTAAT